GACGTTAATAGATTAATAGCGTCAGTTCCCGAAGCAAATTGTGTCACCCCGAGTTCAACAGCAGAGTGTGGCTGCTTGTAAAAACAGCCACCGATAGACAAACAACAGCGGTAAACCTCACAGCATATTAAAAAGGCTACGGAAAAGGTTTATTTTCCAGTGTTTTGACATCAAGGGAAACCGGGGACCCGAGACAGCACGCTGACTGATAGGAGAATGCTTCCATATGGGGGGAAATGTGCACACAAACTGCTGCAGCTGATGCTATCTGCCGTGAAAAAAAAAGCAGGGATCAAAGAAAAGCCCCGAGCCCAATGCACAGCAACCGTTGTACGCACGGCAGCCCATGTAAGCTCTTCAGCGGAGACCAAAACTATTTGGCATCACTTAGTGCATTAAAAAACGATCGACACGACTGGGACAGCAATTACATAGTAAATCGCTATTGTGAAAACATTCGATGTGTCCTTTTCCGTGAGAGTGGGGGAGTTGTTGCGATAGGGATACAGCCCCGAGCTGAGGAAATGTCACTCCACAGTGCTTCCCGTCAAGAAAATAAAACAAAAATAAAATAAATTTCACTTTCTACGCTAATCATTACAATAATAACAATCCTGGCATTTGGTATAGCGCCTTATCACATCTTCGAGACGTCTCAAAGCGCTTCACAGGATATAATAATAATAATAATAATCCTTGCATTTGATATCGCGCTTTTCAAGTCTTCAAGTGCATTGACTGTATGTTTTGCTGGAGAAATGCAGCAACCAATTGCGCACAGCAGTGTCCCACACAAACAGCTGTGGATTGAGTAACCAAATATATTTTTTTTATTTATTTTTTTTACTTTGAAGGGATTATTACCCTCGGAAAAGCGATCCGCCAATCGACTAACAACCGGGTCCCTACTTACTGCCGGGTAAACAGAGGTGTGTGTTTTTCTAATGTTCTTCAAGCACTTTGGTTATCAACCTGTGCATGAACGCACGCATTTCAACGGCGGGGATGAGGGGAGGAGAACGATAAAGAAGGGGTTAACTGAACTGGTTGTGTGTTTGAGGAGGAAAATGTCATCCATAGGGGTGAAAAATGCAATATTTCAAACCATGCAATGGCTAATCGCATTTAATCTGATACGAAGCATCAACATCAACAACAACTTCCATTTATACAACGCTCTTCACTCAGGATAGTGTCTCAGGTCCCTGTGTATCCTATTTGTTTGCCCATTTATCCCCAATTGAATTTGACTGCAACTTCTTCACCCCTCCCGGGAGAATTAAAACACCAGATAACAAGAGTAAAACAATAGGGCTAAAGACTTCAGGACAGGATGGCAAAGCGTTTCCTTCCAACACTTGAATCGGAAAACTCTCTGATTTCTCAAGTGGCTGCAGCACTAAACAAACTCAGAGCTGGTTTTTCTAAAGTGTGTTCTTTATCTGCCGTGACTCTTTGGCCAAGACAAATCTAAACTGCCCTTGAACATGAAAATCAACAGACAGAAAGTTGCTCTGTAGTTTCTGGACTAGACCCAAACCTAAGCCCAGCATCCTCGTTAATTGAGAGCTCTGATGTTTTACTCAGAGTCAAACCTCACTGCAAGTCACTCAAAGAGACCAGGGAGGAGGAGCATTCATTTTATATTTCAAAAAATGACAGAAAATGGCAGTAATAATTCGGTCACTCCATCCACGGCTGCTGTGTGCAGTTGTCTGCTGCGTTTCGCCCACAAATATGCAGTCACTAAACTTTACAATATATTCCGTGAAGAGCTTCGAGACGTCTCGAAGACGTGATAAGGGGCTGCATCAAATGCAAGGATTATTATTAAATCTAAACTCCTTTACAGGGGGAATGTTATTATGGGGGTTTGGAAGAAAGGATTTACAATAATAAGGTTCGGACTGGATTTGCCACCCAAGGCTATCTTTTCAGAGTTGAGGGGTATTAAGATAAACCCCCTATAAAAGCTACAGCTACAGAAAGATATTAATAATACTAAATTGACATATTTTGTTAGATTTTTTTTGGCAAGTGAACTAATCTAAGCTACTTCTAACCATTCATTGCTGGTTAACCTTCTACGGAAAGACAACAATAATTCCTGCATTTGTGCAAGAGGCCTACATTTGACAATAAATTGGTACTTTCTCTATTGCTCTTGTCTCAAAATCTGGCATCTGAGTCCTGCTCTCATTAAAGAGACTTACAATGCAACAATCTTGAACAATCTGTTCTCAATTTACCCAGTTATTAGCATTGGCTAATATTTGGGACATAATGGAATAGCCGAGAACAAAGAACATTATGTTAGGAATTACTGTCCATGCTTTGTAAAGTTCAGGGTTCACAAGGAACAATTGGCCATTTCATTTTTTACTTGACAAACGCTTCTATTACATACGGTCTCTACCCCGCTAAGTACTAAAGCATATCACAATGAGAAACGGCATTTGAGTTATAGCGACACCATTGCTCTAAACTGGTAGGAGATTGACCCCCAATTTGAGAAGTTGCATAAATCAAGCCATGTACAGCCAATATCTTGGGGCACCAGCATTAAACCTAATTTAGTGGCAGGGTCAAATCTTTATTCCACATTCCAGTGACCTTTCACTTCACATCATACGAGCAAGGCAGTTAAGCTTACCACTGTATACTGCTAAGTCTATTTAACAGCTTTTGGCCTTGAGGGGATTCTTCTGTGGTAAATGGATTTTTTTTCGAAAAGAAAGAAAAATAGAAAAGTTCAATTCAGAAACTCCGATTGCTGATAGTACAGTTCAGCACAGACTTTGCTCTTAAAAGCCGTCAGACTTTAGTACGTTCAGTCATTAGAACTAGGCTCCCCCCAAAATATCACTTGCATCTCAATTCCATTCTCAGTCGTAATGAATATTTTGCATTTGCTTTCTGCCACCGCAAAAGTGCTCCATTTTCCATGCCAGAACAAGGCTTACTAATTGAGAAGGGTTGGTTTGAAATGACCTGGCAACGCTTGAGTGATTAGTTGCTTTCCAGTCCACACGAGAGCGTACATACGCAATGCATGAGTGCTATTATTTAGGGTCCATCTGGGTCGGATGGGTTGTAATTCGGTGATCTCGCTGGTAATATATGGGCAGCAGGAAATGCGAATGTGGAATTCAACATAAACTTGAAACCAGTTGCGTTGCTTAATGGGGGTAAACTATTTTTTGAAAGAATTAAGGATCATTTTTTGTATCTTAAGACAGATGGCTCAGCCCCACTTCTTACAACGTGTAAAGTCTCTTATTTAGCAGGTGTGTGATTTGGACGTGATTTAGAGAGCGTGACTACGGTCAAAGAAATTCTTTAGGCTTGTGATCCAAAGAGAGATCTAAACAAGTACCTTGGCAGCAGTAAGTAACGTAAGAGCCATGGAGAATCTCAAAAGACAAGACTATGATCAGTGGCTGGGAACCTTAGGTTATATTCCGCCAGAGCTGAGCAGGTTAACGGGAGATCTGATTGAAGTGCTTACAACTGGGATGTCCTCCCGACGTGAAAGGCCCAACACAAATGCAATGTTGTTGTTGTTACCACAACAACAACTTGCATTTGCATAGTGCTCTCCCATCTTGTTCTGACCTGTTTGATCTGATTAATGTGCATAAAAAAACATGGTGATGTTTGGCAAACTTCAGTTGGCATCATCCATCCCACGTGTAAGGACTTAAGATGATGGTTCAGTATCCCAAGTACAGTATCACAGATCATCCACCTTTTCCCTTCAGTAATCATCTCTATAATGTATTCCGTGCCTTCTCCGAGCATATGATTTGTTTTCCCTGGAAGCTACCCAATGTCTCCTCCGATCTATCCTGCGTCTCTATGGTGTCTGTCTATTATGCCGTGTACTGCTGACTGCACACACAAAAGAATCACTCAGTAATCTTCCCTCCCCCCCCCATGTGTTATCCACAACATTTGAAAGGCGGGGGTGGGGGGAGGAAAGTGTGGTCACGCAATTTGTTAAAGTAACAAGGTGTGAAGCGTCACAATTGCCTATTGATTGGTATAAATACCGGATCTCCAGGAGTGCCATTACTAGACAGTGCCAGGGCTCGATCTGCAGTGACAAACACTAAACAATACGCATGTTTGAGAGCAGCAAACCATGAAGCAAAGACAGGTGGTCACTGCGCTGTGGGACAGATAAATTGTCTCCTCTTGAATGACTGTCCAGTATCACGCCTGCACGGCCAACTCCTGGTAAAAGACTGTTGACTAACTATACAACAGTATTAGATTCCCAACCGGATGGCTCAAGTTCCAGCTCACAGAGTCACTGACCGTCGTCCACAATCTTACAACAACACTTAACATTTACAGAGTGCCTTTCATGTCGGGAGGACACCTCATAGGGGGGGGTGGAGAGGGAGAAGAGAGGGAGAGCGGGAACCAGCAACAACAACAACAAAATTACATTTATAGAGCGCCTTTCACGTCGGGAAGACGTCCCAGAGGGAAGAGACCAAAATTTGTCTCAGCTAAACTGTTCTGCCTCTTTCCAGCCCTTTCCAGCAAGGAGGTCAGCAAAGATAATATGGAACAAAGTTGGGAAAGGATATAATAATATACAATCGTTGCATTTGATACAGCGCCTTATCACGTCTTCAAGACGTCTCAAAGCTCTTCGCAGAATATACTGTAAAGTGAATTGACTGTATATTTTGTGGGCAAAACGCGGCAATCGTTCCCCAGACTGTTCAGATTGTGGAAAGCTTGATAATAAATATAATACTTAATGCTTATGTTTGATGTCATGTTAAACATCTCAAAGTGCTTCATAGGTAATTGCTATGAAGTGCATTTGACAGTGTGCTGTACTTATTTTATCCGCAAGTGTGTGACACTCAACCTATGACACTATCCATTCAAATAACAAAACGTGCGTCAAATAAAATTCGGATCAACCCAGGCAACAACCGAGGGGAAAAGGTGAAGAACACGTTGAACGTGAGGTGACTTACCGCCAGGTAGAGCATGGCGTACAATGAGAAAGAAGCATGTCCTGAATAGAACGACTTCCTGCAAAACAAAGCAACAAAAAAGGTGTTAAGAATCAAACTCTTCTGCTCCGGACTCTAAGCACACGGTCAGCACCAACTACTCAGCCCCCTGATGATCAACCTACACGGGGCGAGAGAGGAGAGGAGAGGAGAGGGGAGAACACTGCCTAGATCACGTCAGATAACGTCAGTGGAGTTGTGTTGATTTTTCCATTGCACTCGTCGTGGGATAAGTGCACGTACTCAAAGTGTCCAAAAGAACTCCCATTGTGTGTAACGTGGTCTGGGTATCAATTTTAAACACACTGTAAAAGCTAAACAGGCGATCAACCTAGTCAGAGAAGAGGCAGATATGGGATCTGGCAACTATTCCATGGTGCCTTCGTGGTCAGATTAACTCCTGAATGTCTGAATTAAAAATAGTGATAGTAATAATAGTCCTGGCGTTTGATACAGAGCCTGATCGCGTCTCCGAGACGTTTCAAAGCGCTTCACAGATTATACCGTAAAGTGAATTGACTGTACATTTTGTGGGCAAATTCTTTGGGAATCGGGGGTCACGCTGTCTTCAGGGCTCCGGGGAATATTTTCGGGAAACTGCGTTGAAAAGGAAAACCTTTCAGCGTTTCAGAACAAATTTGTCCAGCCGTGGAATGTTTAATGTTCGGTTAGGAAAAGGGAATGCTATCTGGCTTTGCTGAGTACTGGCCGGGCAAAGTCTGCCGCCGACTTCAATAGATGCGAGTGAACAATTCACAAGGGAAAGTGAATCAAGTTAAAGCCTCGATGGGTGAGACTTATTAATAATCTACCAACATACCGATTGATTTTCTTTTTTTCTTTTTTTTTAAAAAAAACAGTTTCGAAAACTTTGTATGCCTGAAACAGCTGTTTCCTTACTTAAAGACTGCACGGAAAGCTGCGATTTTAATCAGCTCTTTTCTAAAAAAAAATACATAATAAAAAATATATAAATTCCATATTTAGACTCCCCGGAGGCCGTGCAAGAAAAAAAATAACACTCGTCACAAACAGCTGTAATTTTCATTTAATTCCAGCAATGCTCAATTTCCCATTAAAACAAATGGCAATGGAGTCTCAATGGCTCCACCACAAATATGTAGGAATCCAGATACCAGGGACATAAGGACATTACTGCCTCTGTTGACTTACACAATCTTAGGGGAATTATCTCACAATCCCCCCCCCCCCGCCCCCCACCCCCCCCCCCCCCCACACACACACACACCCGCAGAAATACACCACAAAATGCACAGTTCTCTTGGGCACATCTTCTACCTGTTTGCACGTGAGGTCGAAATAGAATTGAACTGTCTCAATCAATGTGCTTTAAATCGTGTAGGAATCCACTCGAACATTTACGTTGCTTCTTTTTTTTGGGGGGGCGAATGAAATTTGCAGCGATTTCACTCATTCGCTCACTCACTCAGTCACTCGCTCACTCGCTCGCCCACTCATTCACTCACTCACTCACTCACTCACTCACTCACTCTTGCTCTCATCATTTTGGTCAAGCGCTCTGGGTCTCTACCCTGCCTGAGGGGCACTATATAAATGCAACTTGGTGTCGTTGTCGATTGAATGCCATGTCATGCCTTCCTACCTTGCTTCCAGCACTTTGCTTTCGTCCCCCCTGCACTCAAAGTTTGTGATGTAACCGTGGGAGCAGTTGATTGCTGAAAAGTTCGGGTTGCAGATATCCAAAAAGTGCGGCCTTAAGCGTCCGACGGACACCTTGGCAATGTCAGTGAAGGACTGGCTCATGGCACAGCCAAAGATGAAGCAGCCAACTTGTTTGTACAGAGCGGCCACATATGGGTTACGAATAAAGGACTTGGGACGTTCTTTCATGTAGTAGATACGGTAGCACTCTCCTGATACTATCTGTGAACAAAAAACACACACAATTATTCCTAAGGCTACTTAGCTTTTCCTGTGTACAAACTATGCCTTGAGGAGCTGAGATGGTGCAGCGTTGTAATCAAGCCCCTAATGACTGAAATATAATATAATGATAATATATAATATATAATAGGTAGGGAAAGGGGGACAAGAGGGAGGTTAAAGAGGTGAACTGTCAGGATCAATATGCTTTCATTGGTGCAAGAAAACAGGACGAAACCCAAAAGAAAAGACTAGGTTGTTATGTATTCGGAGGCGGTATTAGGGTTAGGGTCTAGCTTTACGTCTGAAGGTGTTCCAGAATTACCCACTAGAGATTCCCACATGCTTGCAAACGAAAGGGGTGTGTTTGACAGTTTAAACATTGGAGCAAAGCTGAATTAGTGGAAGACGCATTGCAAGAAAGAGGTACTTTGACACCAGCCATCTCAGGGATGGGTCTTAAACTCAGGAAGAGCGTGCTGACATCACACAGCGAAGGAAGTGACATCCTTGGCATTTCTTGCTCATATTGCACAAGAAGTGACATCGGTGCTGACCTGACAACCCAGAAGTCGGCCTTTTTTTTTCCCACTCTTTCATTAAAGCGGGGTCTGAGATATTGGACCCAGAAGAGCACATTATAACAACAGTTGCCCGAGATACATACACACACATAAATACACGTTACATATTTTAAAAACACAAAGAAACACAGTGGAATAGTTCAATTAATTATGAAAAGAGACACATTAAGACTCAGAATTAGTAACAGATTTCAGCTTCGGCCCCTTTACTTTTAAGCTGATTTGGAATAATTGAGAAGTGCTGAGAAATTGAGCGTGGGTTTCTGTGGGTTTTACTGCAGGCTTCAGGCACCATTCCCTTCCCTGAACGCAGTAGCCAGTAATCTAATCAACATCAATTCTGTAATGGCTAGAATTCCATCTCAGCTCCTTCCCCTTTAGGTATTATTAGGTCGGACAGGCAGTCCTCCATTATCTTGCTTAATATCTGACTTTACTAATCACTTCACTACCTGTATAGCCCAGCGGGTCAAGCAAGCATGTCTGGAGTTTAAAGAGAAACTCACAAAGCTGCTTCTGAGCTGCACAATGTATGTGCTTGGCCTGTCAGAGCAAGAAAGGCTGAACAATTCTTTGAAGAGAGAGTTCCACCGTCAATGCCTGGGTTTGAAAGATCAAACGATTTCAAAGGACCGTCATTAACATCCATTATGTTTTGAAATAAAGAGTTGGATTGAAGGAGCCACACCATTCGCACGAGGTTGTGGCGCGAGAGAGAAACATTTGTAGAAGCTTAAAAAGCACAATTCAACAAAGCATCGGAACAAGAAAGGACCATTGGGTACATCAAACCGCTCTTCACCCAAGTTCCACGCTGATCGCTGGAATAACGATTTAGCAACTTGAGCCATTATTAAAACAAATCGATGTTATGAACAGACAAAATGAGCCACTGATAGAATAATTGATCATTTCGTGTTGGGAAGGAGGGGGTTGAATTGTCTTGTAAGATTTACTGAGCCTGACAGTGTGAGGGGTTGAGTCAGTGTACAAAGCTGAAACGGAAGTGCCTCTCCATTAATGTTTGTTTCATTGATGCTGACATTAATCCAATTCCCTCACCGCATTCGTCCCTATGTCATTTGAATCATATTGACTCTCAAATACCTAAACGCAGAACACAAATGAATTACGTGGGAAAACACCCAGATTCATATTGTACTGTGTATCGGTCAGTTCTCAAGATACTTCACCGCACTTATTTGGAAACAGTGCAATATGGTTAGTGTGGTGTCTGCTTTTACCACTGTGTTTTACTCGACAATGACATTTACGTGGGAATCGCCAGACCAGTATGTCATACAGATTGGCGATGTTTAAAGTCAAGCACACTTTTGGGAGTCAAGAATTTGAACTTGTGCAAATCCAGCTAATTGGTGGCAGCAATGTTTCCTTCTCAAGCTCAGCAATACTGCAGTGGAATCCTGCAGTGTAGTGGTTAAAGCATCGCAAGTGAGAGGCAAGTGGGTTCATCCCTGGGCAGGGCAAAACCTTAAGCAAGTTTCTTTACCCCACACACCTCTGTTTACCTCGCAGTAAGTAGGAACCCAGTTGTTAGTCGATTGGCAGATCACTGTTCCAGGGGTATAATAAATTAAATAAAAATAAAAATAATTTGGTCACTCAATCCACGACTGTTTGTGGGGACGCTGCTGTGCGCAATTGGCTGCTACGTTTCACCCACAACACATACAATTCAATTCACTTTACAGTATATTCTGCGAAGCGCTTTGAGACATCTCGAGGAGATTATAAGACGCTATATCAAATGCAAGAATTATTATTATTATTATTATAACAATGCCTCTTAAGGCAGCAGAAATATCCTGAGTAGCGAGTGACTGACACAAACTCTGCTTACAATCACCTCTACCAAAGACGGCAGCGGGTTTTCAAAGTATATTTGTTTACACACTTAAACTGTCTCGTCGGCAGTCGGTAAACCAATCTTGTATATTCTTCGCAAAGATCGCAATCCAAACTGGATACCTGGGTTTCAAACCTCAGGTTTGCGTGAAAGAAAAAAGGTTCCGTTGGAGGAACACGATTTGATCGCCTTCCTGATTCTATTGAAAGTTACAGATTGGTGCTGTTTGCTCCATATGCGTAATGACACTTTACAACTCAAAAGAGGTATAACATGATTCAGGAATCTGCTATAGTCAGAGCATTATTGTTACTCCCATTCTGTAGCTCTTTTTGGACACCAGAGTGTCTTATGTATGTTTAGGTACATGGAAGCACTTGCATCTTTCCCTCCCTCTTTCTCTCTCTCTCTCTCTCTCTCTATCTCTATCGTGCCTCTCGTCACTTTGTGACAGTGTTTGGAATCTCAGGCAATCAGTTCAGTCAAACTTGGCCCCAGGCCAATTCATCCGGCAGTCTTTAAAGGCAATTTAATGAAAATCAGATTTGCTCAATTGAGTCCAAATGTTCAGGCTCTCGGCACCACAGAGGATGTTAAATTCTCACCCTGTCCACGTCATTTGTTTTGTCCCGATTCTCAATCCTCCTATTTTCTGGCGAGCAATATATTTGTGGCCAATTCAAATAAATAACAGGGGACTCGAGTTCTGTGGGCTCAGTTGGTGTATATTTTATCCAGTACAAAACCAATTTACTTTTAATCACGGCAAAAAACTCAATTAAGTTGAAGAATAGAGCTCTATGACAAACAAATGCTTTCCATTAACCTTTGACCGCCTGATTTTGCACCATCTAGATGTGGACTGGGTTGCACGCCAACAATAACAGAATAGATTGTGTAAGATAATGGCTGAATATTAAACTTTTCGAGTGCTATAATACTCAGAGGGGAATTAAACTTTGAAAGCTTAGAAAAAAACTGGTAAAATGGGGGAGATTGACATCTTCCTTCCCCCTTGACACATATGATTAAGAAATGTTCGACGAGCTCCAAGTGTGGGTTAAACCTCAGTTTTCTTAATAAAAATAATAATCCTTGCATTCGATACAGCACCTTATCACATGGTTGACACGAGACATCTCAAAGCCCTTCCCGGCATTCACCGTGAAGTGAAGTGAGGAGACTGTGCGTTTTACAGGTGGAAGCAAAGATAGTTTGCTGAGAAATGTAAGATGTAAGGGCGGTATAGAAATGCAAGTTGTTGTTGAAGATGTTTTGACTCCTTCTGGTACTGGGTTCAGTTCCACCGGTGCGGATTCTCCTCCTGCCTCTCCCCCAGGTGGCCATTAACCGTGCCTGACAGCTACCTGCGCACTCTGGGCGTCACTCCCGAGCCTGATCCCATATCCTCCCACGATCTCCAGACCTGCACGTCTTTCTCTGGACAGCGTAACCGAAGCGATTGAATTCTCCCCGCCCAACCCAGCGGCACCGAGCCCAATCGCAGCGCTCCTCCTTCGCAGGAGGCGCTTTTTCCTTTGCAAAGAACACTCTGTAGATTCTGTGGCCGGGAAGCTCTTAAATCTTTGCACGTTATCAAGAGGGAAAAAAAGGTATTGGACGGCGACAAATGGCCTCTATCTCTCTTGTTAAGGTTGCATCTAATGATTTGCCTAATCTTATGCAACGCTTTCAATCCTTCACCTCTCATTAGAGGTGCCAAATGGACTATGTACGCAAGCTCAGAACTACTGTACGTATGTTGAGGTTCCTTAAACTGATTTCACTTTGCTCCCTTACAGTCAACACTTAGTTTCGTTGCAGAGGCTTGGTTTGGATTTGGATTTGAACTCAATATAATAATAATAATAGTAATAATCATAATAATAATGATCCTTACATTTGATATAGCACCTTATCACGTCGTTGAGACGTTTCAAAGCGCTTCACAGGACAAACTGTAAAGTGGAGTGACTGTGTATTTTGTGGGCGCAAAGGGGGACCACTGGACACAACAGGTAAAGTAATATCACAAGATTGGTCTTCCTCCCCCACCCCCACCCCAATCCCCATCACAAGCTGCTTTTAAATGAGTTCAGCTTCAATTCAACCACCCTTCCTGGCAGTCTGTTCAAGTCGTTCATTACTCTCTCTCGCTCTCTCTCTCTCTCGTAAAGAAAACTTCCTGATATCTGTCCTGAAACCACCCTTTAATGATTATATCCACCTGTTTATAATACAATACAACACAATTTTCACTTATACAGTGCCTTTCAGGTAGGGCGGACGTATCAAAGCATTTGAGAGGATGTCAATCTCAAATGTAAGGATTATTATATATACCAGAGATCACAAAGAGAGAGAGAAGAAACCCTTTCTTCCCTTGATATGTGACTCTCCTTTTCAGACAGTAACAAAAGAGTATTCATGTGGATGCCTCAACACCCAAATCCCACCCAGAACGATTCCAAATCTAGTCACAGAGCGAGAAGATAAATTGAGGCTTTTATTTTTTTTTAAAAAAAGACTTATTTTTACTTTCTGTATCA